GCCAGATGGAACAAATAAGTGGATATACTGAGAACAATGGGAGTCAGGTTTCTCTCTTAGAGAAGAGATTTACAAATACAGAAAGGAGGGATGCTAGAAAGAAGCCCAGTTTGTCAGCTTAGAATTGGCAGAATTGGTGTAAATTCACGATAGAAAGATAGACACATATTTACAAATGAATATGTACAGATAAAGATGCCTAGGTATAGGTACACATAAAGAAATAAATATAAATGTGTATGTGTGGTTGTGTGTGAAACTTCATAATTTCTTCCTCACCTCTGTCTACTGAGAAAGCCTACAGTTCATCACAAGCCAGTAGCATGAGCCAGAGCTCATTTAAAAATGTCGTCATCCACTAGAAGAACCACGTCTCCTTGGAGAATGGGCTGATTCCAGGTTTGGGGCAGGGAAAGGACAAGATGAGCCTAGAGTATCTTGGGTGCAAGAAAGTAAAAGGGTATTCAAAGAACAATGGGGACATGTCAGAGATCCAGCTTAACGAGACATCCATTGGCAAAATCTGGAGGGCAATTGGGATAACAAAATAAATAATAAAATTAGTGGAATACAACCTGCCGCAGTCTGGCTGGGCACAATCAGGAGCCACTTGTCAAAAGAAACTAACTTTATTTTTAGAACCACACACGCCAAACAAAACAGCCTCTCAGGAAAAACCCTCAGAGCCTCAACTGCCACCACCGGCTTTCCACAAGCCTCTCTCTCCCACCCAAGCTTCTCTCCACCTCCCACAATCCTCCTGCTCTTGAGGCCAATTGGCTGGGTCACGTGGGCGGAGCCAAAAAAGTCCCCCAATGAGCAGCTCCATGGTCTGAAAGGGCAGGGAAACAGCCCAATGAGCATCACCGCAGAGGAGCCAATCAGCTAGATGTTGCTGGGCCGCTGTGAGCCAATCATCAGCCGGCAGCTGGAAGTTTGCTGGGGCCCCTTCGGTTGTGGCTCTCAACATCAGTTGGGATAACAAAATAAATAATAAAATTAGTGGAATACAACCCATAGAATGGACTGAGATTCATAAGCCTATATTGGAATAAGTAAATAAATGTGGGGAAGGGAAAAATCTTTATAAAACCCTCCCAACTAATACACACAAAACTTTTTTAAAAGATGCAAATGAAAGATTGCTATTTGGTAGCCATCACAGTGGTGGTTGATTAAAGTGGAGTCATTAATACCCACTAAGGCTGGCTGAGGGAAGACTCAATGGGAATAGAATATGTGTGTACTCTCAGAGTATGTCCTTCAAAATGCTTATTGGTTCCAAAATGGTGGAACCAAAATGGTGGAATGGAAAATGGAGATATTATAATGGAGAATCCCCAGATCCAGCAATCCAGATGATAAAGGTTAGCATCCTAATGGTGGGACAGTTAAATACCTCTTAATGCACCATCAACAGCATAGTATCATTTCTTTCATATTCCTAAGCATATATGTGTGTATATAGAATATATATGTACGCATATATATGTATGTATATATAGTTATAAAAAGCACATATCCTCAACTTAGATCCACTTGATTTTTTTTTAAATTTCTTTATGTTTGAGCCAGGGTATTAAAGAACTATCAAGTGGATCTAAGTTGAGGACATGCGCTTTTTCAAATCATGTGAGACAGAGAAAGACTGAACAACAGAAGAAAATTAGAGGAGAATAAGGAAGCATGCCAAGTAAATACAATACGTGATCCTGTGTTAGATTTTGGACCATAAAGGAATAAAAATACATTTGGGGGAAAGCTGGAAATTTTTCAATCAATTTTAAGGATTATTTAATGGTGTGGTCTCAATGTCATATTGGACTTATGTAGAGGGCACTCTGGTTTGGGGAAAATGTATATATTGGAATACTTCAGGGTAATGGAACATCATGTTTGCATTTGCTCTTAAATGGTTTAGGAAAATAATATCAATCATGAGTATCTATAAATTAATGTTTCTATGCAGAGATATAGCAAATGAAAAATAATAACAATTGATAAAACCAGGGGAGTAGGACATAATAGCATTTATTTGTACTATTTCCCCCCACTTTGGTAAATTTGAAGTTATTTGAAAATAAATTATTAAAAAGGGGCTTCATTGGTCATTTAGTCTAATTCTGTCTTCTTACAGGAAGAAACACATGGAAAGACAAAACAAGGACCCCCAAAGTTATAAGCAAATAGTATAACTATGTGACTATAATACTAAATAATATGATAGATAGTATACATAATGTCAAATGTACAAAAGATCTGTGAGTTGTAGTCAGCAGGCAACCCAAGGTGTATCCAGATGTAGGGCCCATTAAAAATGTGTACAAAAGTGCAGTCTGTATGAACAACAGTACGTTGAACAAAGGTGTTTTGCTAAGAGGTCAGAGGCAGTCCCAAGAGTAAGAGATGGTGAAAGATTGTGAAAGTCCATTATCTGAGGCCAAAGGGACAGGTCCTGTTTAGCTCCAACACAAGAATTCACCCATGGCATCTATTATTTGTCTTAAACAATTTGGAAGGCTTTCCCATGAAGTGTTGTTTCATATTTGGATGACCACTTTGGATAGAAACCATTAAAAAAAAACAGAAAATAAAGAAAAAAAAAGAAGGAAGGAAGGAAGGAAAATGGGAAAAAATAGGGAGTTTTGCTTTTAGCTTGGGAAGATGAAATGGACCATTTAAGATAGTGAGGTTTCATCATAAGGAATGCACAGGCAGGATGGGTGCTGGGTAAAAGTTGTTGATTGGTAACAAATAGCAGAAGCTATGAGTGACTTTTGGCCCCCTTTAAAAACACTGTTCATAATAAAGCTACTATTTATTGAATGCTTACTAAGAGTATCACAGATGTATTATCTCAGTTGATCCTTACCACAGCTTTATACTGTAGGCATCCTTATCCCCTTTTCATAAATAAGAAAAAATGAAGCTTAATAATGTGTATTAGGTGCAAATCTAGCAAAATACATACAGAGGTGTGGGAGACCAGATTCAGTACCATGTCTGCTGGCTCCAGAAGTGCTACTTCAAGTCCCATCTTCTACACTTAGTCCATCTAAATTCCAGCAATTTCCTATGGTCTCTCTCAGTATCTGGAGCCACACAGGGTTCAACAGCTGCTAATTGCTCCCACCATCAATAAACTCGCTGATTTTCTATTCTAATTTCTTCTTCTTCTCCTCCTCTTGCCTACATCACGCTTTCTCATTCACATGTGTCTTGAAGCTCTTTCTCTAACGTCAAGGAAAGATATTTTCCTGTTGAAGGGCTTCCCATCACTTCTATAGTGGAATTAGTACTCCCAGAAAGAAACACATCATGTGCACTTGTGCCTCACCTGCCTGTCAACACATGAGATGCATCTCTGATTTCACAATCACTACTCTTTTAGCACCCTCCTTCCACCATCATTTTTATCAACTGTTCCTCCAGGGATTACATCAACCTGAACTCGGACTCCAGCAAGCCACACCTTCATTCTACTCATGATTTCACTCAATTCAGGTCAAAGTGCAATTCACTAAGCAAGCACTCAATCTCTCCTTGTGACTGTTTTGCCACTGGACCGTGCTACCCAAGTTTTCAGGATCTAGAAGAAGGGTGAGGACTGGCTTGCCTCTGCCGAGAGGCGACAGTAAGCACTTGGTTATGGGAGGAGGAGGGTGTTTGCTTACAATTCCCAAAGTGGACCCAAGATAATAGGATCTTATGGAACAAAACTTTACCTTAAAATGCAGTTAACTGGTGCTATAAAGCTACACTCCAAGTTACTTAGCAATAGTTGACAGGGAGTGGCTTTTTGACTGGTAACAGCTTTATAAAAAGCCACCTTTTGATTTCCTTTAGCAAGGAACTTTCCCTCACCTCTCACCTCACTGAGTATTCTACAAAACACAGCTAGCCACCGGTTTGCACCATGCACATTCTGGTCACATTTAATAGTACCACACCTCTATCTCAAAACAGACATTTCCCTAATGGGCTTTAAAAGGTGCTATTTGGGCAGTTAATTTTGAAATGCTACTAAACTAATAGGTAGTTAGCAATGTACCACTTTCACATAGATACTCCCCAGAGTCAGATGTTTCTGGTTGATTGGATGGCTCTTCACACAGGTGCTTGTCATAGCTTTTTGTTGCTGATGATGTTTTGTTTTAAATAGCTTTTCTCCTCCAGAAGGCTTTACAGAATCTGTTTTCCAGAAAGCACAGCTTCAGGAGCCAAGAAGAGGCAGAGGGCCTAAAGAATGCACCTGAATGCCTTAGGCAGATTAAGCAGTGAACAGTGAACTCCTCCTGCTCAGGTCTTTGGGGTAGAGGTGGAAGGGAAAAGGTTTACTTAAAAGGCCCAAGAGTAGCACTAAGGGCACAGGTCTTTTACACGCATGGGCAGGAGTTTTCTTGGCCTGGACTCTGGAGGCCACAGAATCAAGCAAGCACGTGGAGGATGAGCTTTTGGTCTTCAGGCCTAGAAACCTGGAGAGCAAAAGTGGGGATGGCTTTGTGAGTGCTGGAACCTAAGGATCCTCCACTACTGTGGTGTAGGTGGAAGAGTGTAGGTAGGAGAGGGAAGAGTGGTGACTCCATGCTGCTTATCATATTTAGCGTTTATTGTGGAGTGGGTGAAACTTAAAGGAACCAAACCACCTTCTAGCCCATATCCCCAATACCAGCAAAAGAATCCAAGTTGCCCAGTCCCCTTAGAGTACACGAAGAGACATTTGTTAAAACTTACTCTTTTTCCTCCAGCCCCTAGCTACACAAATGTGTGTGTGTGTGCGCGCGCGCGCGTGTGCGTGTCCCTGTCTGATTCTCTCCAGATGGCATTGCCTGCTGGCTATAAAGCCCAGGGAGGCCAGGAAGGAGACTCACTCTAGGGAACGCGCCACTCCGGGGCGGGCGCGGGGCGGGGCCGAGTGCAAGGACCGCCCGATCTCCCGGCACAACCAACGAGCGGACCCGGAGGGCGGGCCCGCACGGGCTGAACCGCGCGGGCTGTCACAGGCGCCCGACTCGCGCCGCAGGTGGCAACTTGGAGGGGCCGCGGCCACCGCTGCGGGAGAAGCCAGGATCTGGCGGCCCCTTCTAGCCTCCGGGAGCCCTTTCCCGCCGCCAAGACCAAGACTGGACCCAGGAGAATCCGAAGGAAAAAGCCGCTGTGCAGGGACTTGTAAGCAGCGCTACCTCTCTCTGCCCGTGCGCTACTTTTTTTCCCCCTCCAAGGAAGGTTGTGTCTGGGGGCTGGGAATAGGCTCCGAGAAGAGAGGGAGAGGAAGGCTTCTGAGACCCAGGTGAGCGCCTTTCCTTTACAATGTCCCATCTTTCTTGGTAGCAGGGCGCAGGCCGGGAGCGCCGGCTCACCTCGTGGGTAGGGGCTGGGGAGCGGGCGCCTGCCCTTGGCTTGAGGTCGACGGGGAAGACAGCAAGGAAGGGGCGAGGCCAGACCGGCTGGGGGCTGCCTGCCTAGGCCTGCCCAGGATAGGCAAGGTCTTGTGGGTGGGCACCCCGTGGCGAGGGGCTGACGGAGCGGTGGTTTTAGGGGACAGGAGGGCTTGCGCCCTGGCTAGAGCTAGCCGGGATCCTACCCGTGTGCGCCGGGCTGGAGCCGCAGCCGCAGCCGGGCGCCGCGCCTGGGAGAACCCCCGAGCCAGCGCGCGGGGCCAGGCTAGCACACGAATCTTCTGTCCCTTCGAGCCTGAGGCTCTGGAGGACGTCATCCCTCTCAGCTCTGGCAACTCCTCCTCCGTCCCTCTTGCCTCCACCCCTCCGCGCCCGCGGTTTAGCCTATTCGGAGATTCAGTGCCTTTGCCAACGCGCGCAGTGGTTGCTGCTGTCACTCCCCTCTTCGCCCTTACCAGAGTTGGAATGTCCTGAGGGTCCCGTTCCCCGGCCCTGGCAGCCTAGTAGGGCGCTGGAGGAGAGTGGGGCTGGCCAGTTCTCTGCGCCGTAGGGCGGGAGGTGAGCAAGGACTTGCGGTTTAGAGCTCTCTCCGTATTCATCCCCGCCCCCTTGCAGCTCGAACTGCTTGCCCAAAGAGCGGAATCTTGGAAGCCAGAGCTAGCTTGCTCTGGGGGATCAGGGGGTCTCCTGGGAAGGTGCTAGCCTTGGAGGTGAGGACACAACATCTGCCACCATCTCGGCATTTCAGCTACTGCCTTAAAGAGGAGTGACTCTGACCTCCGCGTTCCGGCTTGCAGCGTGGGGGAGCTGAAGACTGCTTGTCAGTGTGTGTGTGAGTGTGTGTGTGTGTGTGTGTGTGTGTGTGTGTGTGTGTGTGTGTGTATCTTTCTCCGGGAGGCAGAGGCGCAGGAGCCGGTTCCCCCTGCCCCACCGAGCCGCAGAGCCTCACCGCCCCTTGCCGCCAGCGGCGCGCGGCTGCACTCCAGCAACTCAGCGATGTTGGTTCCTCTTCTCAGGATCCAGCGCCCGGTCTCCTCCTCCAAGGCGCGTCCCAGGCTGAAAATCATTTGGCCAGAGGGTGCGGATTGGAGGATTCAGGCGCTCCCGAGGCAACTGAGGCTATTTTTCCAAATCCAGGGCAGCACCCCTCGCTAGGCATTTCATCTTCCTGTTGCTTGCCTGTAAGGACCGCCGCTGGAGGCCGGCAGAGGTGGGCCTGTGTTCCAGGGTGGGCGTCGTGTCAACCGGGAAGCCGAAGTTGGGGGCTCCGAACTCCCTTTCGCGCGCGCGTCCTGATCGGAAGCCAGGGAGCTAGAGACCCGCGGGCCAACCCGGGGGCCGGCGCGCTGAGCTGGAGGTGGGGTGGTCTGGCAGAGCTGAGGGTGGACATCCCGGGTGCCTAGAGCCCAGGACTGGAGACCTGAGCCTAAGGGCGTGTCGCAGCTGTGTCTGGGTGAGGGCAGCGGAGTTGCTCTGGAAGTTGAGATCCGGATCTGCACCGCTCGGTGACAGGCGCTGCGGCTGGTGAAGCAGCAGCCATGCGGCGAGTTCTGCCGCCCACTCCCCCAGCCGGCAGCCGCTTTCACTTTTCCTTCCATGGAAGAGAAGCCGCCGCCACCGCACTGACTCTCGCTGGCCCCGGAGGAAGCCTCAGAGCCCAGAAAGCTTGGGGTGCTGGAGGCAAAGTCCTCCTGGGAGCAAGGTCCAGTGTGGGAAAGATAGGAGAAAAGAAAACGCCAGGATTCGCTTCGCAGTCGTGAGAGGGCTGCGGTGAGCGCCAAGGATCCCTGAAGCCAGGCGAGGCGAGGGAGGCGAGGCTAACACAACCCAGCCTGGATGTCCTGCTCCTGCCCTGGGCGCTCTCCCAGGGGGACCTGATGTTGGAACACACACAGCCTCCCCCATCTCAGGCTGGCTGACTCGTGTAATTCCCTCTGAAGTGCATTGGATTGAGCTGGGAGAGGGCTGGAATCCATGAAATGAATGAAAGTAGAAGGACTGTAAATCCCAAATCTAATTGCAGTTTAAATCTAAATTCCATTTGAATAGAAACAGACTCTAATCTAGCAAAGCAGGGTCTGCGTGGGGACCCCCGTATGCATTTCTTGTGACAGTTACTGAAGGACTAAACAAGATTGGCACACCCCAAACCTGAATTATACTTCCCAAAACTGGTGGGGTCAGAGTGTGTGTGTGTGTGTGGGGGGGGTTGAGTGTGCATATCTTTACATATATTTCAGAACACGGAAAGTTCAGATTGGTTCTGAAATGACCTTGTGGGCCTCTGTCTTCGTCCTCTTTTATTAAACCATAGACATTTATTTCCCAGTGGGATCAATCACAGTTTGGATACCAAAGTGATACCAAAGGGTTAAAGAGCCTTTCTTGTAATATTAGTTTACAAAGAGGGCTTTTTCAATTAGGCTTCTTAGAAAAAAAAAAAGAAAACCTCTATGCAGGAGCAGAGATGTGAAACTGAAACTGTGTACCCATACCGGGAGTTCTGAACCCCAATGATGGGGATAACCTCCTCACTGAAATGGAGGCTACTGAAGACAGGGCTCTCTCTCTCTTTCATCCTTTGGTTCCCAGAGTAGGTGTTCAACAAACATTAGTAGACTGCTGCTTGTAATTATGTGACGTTTGTCCTGAAAAGACATTTAATCATTTATAGGATTAATCATTATTCAAATCATTATATAAATGGTCCTATTCATTTTGAAGTCACTGTTTAGTTGCAAACATTTTTAAACTCGTTGGGACTGGTAAACCACTTTGAATAGAGCATGTAAACTATTAGGCAAGTTTGAAATACCAGGATGACAGAGTCACATGGGTAAAGAACCCCAATAACAGCTTCTGGTTAAATGCCTATAGAAATGGAGGCCTCACTACCTTCAGAAATATTCTGTTCCATTTTAGATAAACTCGTTTAAATGTTTGGAACATTAGGATGAACACAGCACAGTCTCTGCCCATGTGAAGCTTATATTCTAGTTGGTGGGCCCAAATGGAAGGAACATTATGATTTTGGTGTTATTGTATAAATAGGTGAGACAGTTAAATGATAGCGACAAAGTGATCCTACCCTTTGAGTGACAACAGCAAGGGAAACTTCAAGAAGTATGGGTCTTACCTTATGGTTTGAACCTGAGGAGGAGGAGAAGTCCTTACAGAGGACCATATAAAAGCAACAAGAAGGTCCCCAAAGTTGGCCTGCATGCCAACACCTTCCCTGAAAGTCCATCTCCTGAGCTTGAATGTTCTCCTACTCAACCACCAACAATTTCCACAGCTCTCTGTTTCTTCTGTTCTCCAAAAACTAAGAGCCATAGGTTTTTCATCATAAACCACAACACCAAATTGCTCACTTTCCTCACAACATGCTGAATGTTGTCATGCTTTCTCAGGGGTGGAAGGTTGGGGAACAAAAACTAAACCAGGTCATGATTTTTGTAGGATTTGAAGCGAGGGCAGGTTGACTGTGAATGATTCATTAAAAAAGATCCAGGGAGTAGAGTGAGTCACAGTCTACTCTGGGCAGCTTCTTCCTTGTGTGTAAGGGGAATAATAATTCTCACCTACCACATCCTGATAATTAATTTATGACTTTGGAGTTATTTGAGATGCCTGGAAGGGAACTGTGAGTGCTTGGGGACATGCAATTTACCTATTCAGAGCTGATTAACCAAGGAGAGCAAGAAACACAATTGGAAAGAAGACAGGACTTCCACAAATACCATGTGTCTTCACTCATATATGGAATCTGAAAAAATTGATCCCATAGAAGTAGAGAGTAGAAGAGTAGATACCAGAGCCTGGGGAGGGTGGGGGAAGGAGGATGCAGAAAGGTTAGTTAGTGGGAATCAAAATTCAGTTAGAGGGGCTGGGGTTGTGGCACTGTGGTAGAGCGCTTGCCTACCACTTGCGAAGCACTGAGTTCAATCCTCAGCTCTGCATGAAAATAAATAAATAAAATAAAGGTATTGTGTCCATCTACAACTAAAAAATACAGTTAGGGGCTGGATCTGGAGCTCAGTGGTAGAGCACTCACCTTTCATGTGTGGGGCACTGGGTTCAATTCTCAGCACCACATAAAAATAAATAAAGATATTGTGTCCATCTACAACTAAAAATTTATTTTGAAAAACACAGTTAGATAAGAGGATTAAGCTCTAGTAGTCTAGTGCCACAAAAATAAAACAAAATAAAGTCCTCGTATTCTATAGCACAGTAGGATGAATACAGTCAACAATAACCTAGTTGTATATTTAAAGTAGCTAGAGGAGAGGATTTTGAATGTTTCCAGCACAGAGAAATGATTAATGTTTGAGGTGATGGATATGCAATAACCCTGATTTGAGCATTGCCTATTGTAAGCATGTGTCAAAATATCACACTAAGCCCTATGAATATGTATAATGATCATGTGCCAATTTAAAAATACATAAGTAAACAAAGATACCAATGTAAATATGACTTTCAGTGGAAAGATGCTGGAGCAACTAGAGATTTTAAAAGGTTTTGAACCTGATCTTCACAATTAAGATGGAGAAATATAGGTAGCAATTAGAAATAGTTCATGATTTGTTGTTGTGATAGGGGAGTAGAGAAAACGAATACAGAAATCAAAGAAGTCACCTCACTCCTGGCAGAGATGAAAATAATGTGTTTTGTTTTAATGCTAGTTGAGTAGCACCTGAGGGTTTCATTCAGGTAGATGTGATGTTACAATGGTGTTATGTGGATAAGCAGGGCTGATGCATGTCCACTGTGTGTTTTGACAAGCTAAGGCCCAATATTAATGAAAGGGACCATATCCAGTGGGAAGAATTCAAGACGCAGGAGCTAAGGAGACATTATCTTGGAATCCCACATAATGAGGAAAGTG